GTCTTACAAACCATCTAAAGACTCCCAGGGGTAAGAGCTGTAAGACTGGAAACACCTACAGGCCATCAATTAAAGAAGAGAAAGGGTTTAACTAGAAGGAGTGTGGATCCTGCTTTGGTTATTATGCAACGCTTTTTAGAGTAGAACCTTTTTCTCTCCGAGTCGACACTTTCTTTCACATCAATAACAGGAAATCAGTCTTAATTCCATGCAGCATATGTTAGCTTCTGTTGTTTGTAACATGGTCTAGACATTTATTTAAAGTAATGAAGGTAACATTTCACAATAGTAAGCCTAATCTAATATTTAATGTGAATCTGTAGTGTTGCTGCTGAATGAGGGTGGACTGGGAGTGAGCTGGTGTTGGTGTTTGGTGGAGGGAGTTGGAAATGTTTGTATCTGGGAATGGAGAGTTTCTCAAAGTGGAGCTGAGACTGGTGGTCTTGCATGAGGAGGGAAGGGGGCACAGGGAAGAAGGGGCCGTTCCAGAGCATCTCAAAGCAATGTGCTGGGGGGTGGGAACCATGGTGACACAAGTGTGTGTAGAATGCTATCCCAAAATGAAACTGTAAGGATGAGTATAATGGGAAATGAGGTTCAGGCAGGTCCCCAACCCAGAGTGCTAAGGGTCAGCTTCCTCCAAATCCACCAGCTGCCCCAAGGCAGGAGCCACCTCTGGGCCTGAGGGTGGAAAGCCTCCCTCCACCTTTGCAACTGGACATGATCCGAGGGCAGTGATGGCGAACCTTTTCCAGACCGAGTACCCAAACTGCAACACAAAACCCACTTTTTCATCACAAAGTTCCAACTACTGCAATGCACTCTGTGTGGGGCTACCTTTGAAGGTGACCTGGAAACTACAACTAATGCAGAATGCGGCAGCTGGACTGGTGACTGGGAGCAGCCGCTGAGACCACAGAACACCGGTCTGTTGTTGTTTAGTCCTTTAGTCGTGTCCGACTTTTCGTGACCCCATGGACCAGAGCACGCCAGGCACTTCTGTCCTCCACTGCCTCCTGCAGTTTGATCAAACTCATGCTGGTAGCTTCAGGAACACCATCCAACCATCTCATTCTCTGTCATCCCCTTCTCCTTGTGCCCTCAATCTTTCCCAACATCAGGGGCTTTTCCAGGGAGTATTCTCTTCTCATGAGGTGGCCAAAGTATTGGAGCCTCAGCTTCAGGATCTGTCCTTCCAGTGAGCACTCAGGGCTGATTTCCTTCAGAATGGAGAGGTTTGATCTTCTTGCAGTCCATGGGACTCTCAAGAGTCTCCTCCAGCACCAGAATTCAAAAGCATCAATTCTTCGGCGATCAGCCTTCTTGATGGTCCAGCTCTCACTTCCATACATCACTACTGGGAAAACCATGGCTTTTACTATACGGACCTTTGTTGGCAAGGTGATGTCTCTGCTTTTTCAGATGTTGTCTAGGTTTGTCATTGCTTTTCTCCCAAGGAGCAGGCGTCTTTTAATTTCGTGACTGCTGTCACCATTTGCAGTCATCATGGAGCCGAAGAAAGTCAAATCTCTCACTGCCTCCATTTCTTCCCCTTCTATTTCCCAGGAGGTGATGGGCCCAGTGGCCATGATCTTCGTTTTTTTGATGCTGAGCTTCAGACCATTTTTTGTGCTCTCCTCTTTCACCCTCAATAAAAGGTTCTTTAATTCCTCTTCACTTTTTGCCATCAAGGTTGTGTCATCTGCATATCTGAGGTTGTTGATATTTCTTCCGGCAATCTTAATTCCGGCTTGGGATTCATCCAGCCCAGCATTTCGCATGATGAATTCTGCATATAAGTTAAATAAGCAGGGAGACAATATACAGGCTTGCCGTACTCCTTTCCCAATTTTGAACCAATCAGTTGTTCCATATCCAGTTCTAACTGTAGCTTCTTGTCCCACATAGAGATTTCTCAGGAGACAGATGAGGTGATCAGGCACTCCCATTTCTTTAAGAACTTGCCATAGTTTGCTGTGGTCGACACACTCAAAGGCTTTTGCATAATCAATGAAGCAGAAGTAGATGTCTTTCTGGTGGTGTAGTGGTTAAGAGCGGTAGTCACGTAAACTGGGGAACCGGGTTCGCGTCCCCGCTCCTCCACATGCAGCTGCTGGGTGACCTTGGGCCAGTCACACTTCTTTGAAGTCTCTCAGCCCCACTCACCTCACAGAGTGTTTGTTGTGGGGGAGGAAGGGAAAGGAGAATGTTATCCGCTTTGAGACTCCTTAAAGGGAGTGAAAGGCGGGATATCAAATCCAAACTCTTCTTCTACTCTTCAAACTCTCTAGCTTTCTCCATAATCCAGCGCATGTTTGCAATTTGGTGTCTGGTTCCTCTGCCTCTTCTAAATCCAGCTTGCACTTCTGGGAGTTCTCGGTCCACATACTGCTTGAGCCTTCCTTTTAGAATTTTAAGCATAACCTTGCTAGCATGTGAAATGAGTGCAGTTGTGCGGTAGTTGGAGCATTCTTTGGCACTGCCTTTCTTTGGGATTGGGATGTAGACTGATCTTCTCCAATCCTCTGGCCACTGCTGAGTTTTCCACACTTGCTGGCATATTGAGTGTAGCACCTTAACAGCATCATCTTTTAAAATTTTAAACAGTTCAGCTGGAATACCATCACTTCCACTGGCCTTGTTATTAGCAGTGCTTTCTAAGGCCCATTTGACTTCACTCTCCAGGATGTCTGGCTCAAGGTCAGCAACCACACTACCTGGGGTGTACGAGACATCCATATCTTTCTGGTATAATTCCTCTGTGTATTCTTGCCACCTCTTCTTGATGTCTTCTGCTTCAGTTAGGTCTTTACCACTTTTGTCCTTTATTATGGTAATCTTTGTACGAAATGTTCCTTTCATATTTCCGATTTTCTTGAACAGATCTCTGGTTCTTCCCATTCTGTTGTTTTCCTCTATTTCTTTGCATTGCTCGTTTAAGAAGGCCTTCTTGTCTCTCCTTGCTATTCTTTGGAAATCTGCATTCAATTTCCTGTATCTTTCACTATCTCCCTCGCATTTTGCTTGCCTTCTCTCCCCCGCTATTTGTAAGGCCTCGTTGAACAGCCACTTTGCTTTCTTGCATTTCCTTTTCATTGGGATGGTTTTAGTTGCTGCCTCCTGTATAATGTTGCGAGCCTCCACCCATAGTTCTTCAGGCACTCTGTCCAGCAAATCTAAATCCTTAAACCTGTTCCTCACTTCCACTGTGTATTCATAAGGGATTTGGTTTAGATTGTATCTTACCTGTCCAGTGGTTTTTCCTACTTTCTTCAGTTTAAGCTTGAATTTTGCTATAAGAAGCTGATGATCTGAGCCACAGTCAGCTCCAGGTCTTGTTTTTGCTGACTGTATAGAGCTTCTCCATCTTTGGCTGCAGAGAATATAATCAATCTGATTTCGATGTTGCCTATCTGGTGATGTCCATGTTAGAGTCGTCTCTTGTGTTGTTGGAAAAGCGTGTTTGTGATGACCAGCTTGTTCTCTTGACAGAACTCTATTAGCCTTTGCCCTGCTTCGTTTTGATCTCCAAGGCCAAACTTACCAGTTGTTCCTTTTATCTCTTGATTCCCTACTTTAGCATTCCAATCCCCTATAATGAGCAGAACATCCTTCTTTGGTGTCACTTCTATAAGGTCTTGTAAGTCTTCATAGAATTGGTCAATTTCAGTTTCTTCAGCACCAGTAGTTGGTGCATAAACTTGGATTACTGTGATGCTAAAAGGTCTAGAAGACCGGTCTAGAAAGGCCTATATTGGCTCCCAGTACGTTTCCGAGCACAATTGAAAGCGTTGGTGCTGACCTTTAAAGCCCTAAACGGCCTCGGTCTAGTATACCTGAAGGAGCGTCTCCACCCCCATCATTCTGCCCGGACGCTGAGGTCCAGTGCCGAGGGCCTTTTGGCGGTTGTCTCCCTGCAAGAAGCCAAGTTACAGGGAAACAGGCAGAGGGCCTTCTTGGTGGTGGCACCTGCCCTGTGGAACGCCCTCCCACCAGATGTCAAAGAGAACAACTACCACCAGACTTTTAGAAGACATCTGAAAGCAGCCCTGTTTAGGGAAGCTTTTATTGTTTGATGCATTATTGTAATTTAATATTTTCTTGGAAGCCGCCCAGAGTGGCCCAGCCAGATGGGCGGGGTATAAATAAGAAATTATTATTATTACTATAACGTGGCAATTCTACCTGTATATTTAATTTTTTTCTGTTTGTTTCACATTTCTTCTTTATGACTACTGTTGTAATAAATAATCCTTCGTGAAAGTTATTTCCTTACATTCTTCATTAAATTGTCTTTCCATTGATCTGTAATGTTATGGTATAACTGAGTGCTTTTTTTCCTAAAAAAAATGCTTAGGGGGTACTTGTTCCGTTCGCAAAGTAAAGGAAGGATGGAACTCTGATTAATAAGAATACACACAGAGGCTTGAACCAGCAAGACTCTGGGAAGGGTGCGTATAATCGTCTCTCTGTGCTTGTCCGATTCCCACAGCCCCCGCCCCAGGCCGTTTTATTCACAAAAGAACTTTTTACAGAGTGTTCGTAAGAACTAATCAGATTTCTTCTGAGCATTTCCACAAACCCACTGGGGAGAAAGTTAAACTACTAAAACTAATTAAGCACAAATATTTCTGGGGTAAACAAAGAAGAGCATTTAGCAACCCCGGAGGTCATAAACAAGCAATACACATGATAAGGAGGATGACCAGGAGGACAGCGGATCATTATCACCTTCATGTGAGATCTGTTTCCTGGCCCTAAGATTAAGATCCTAAGATTACCATATAGAAACCTACTTCAAAGAAACTTGCCCACTATCTCTATGGCCCAGGATGCCTGCCTGGCGAAGTAAGAAGCAACTGGGCTGTGTACCTGACAGGAGAAATGGGCAACAGGGAAAAGGGCACGAATGTAGAATCTTATGGGATTTAATCAGAAATTATCGTCAATATATCAAACCCAGTCAACACAATGCCTTCATCGTGGACATGATGGCTTGATGTATATTTTATAATTCCTCATGGTAATCCCATCTGATCCCTACAGTACTCTCATTTTGACTCAAGAAAATCACCACCGGGGGAGGGGATAAATACAGTTGTAATTGGGGAAAATAAATACAGTGGTACCTCAGTTTTCAAACAGCTTAGTTCTCAAACTACTTGCAACCTGAACTCTTCAAACCCAGAAACAAGTGTTCCAGTTTTGGAACTTTTTTTGGAAGCCGAACATGCTCTGTTCTGAGTATAACTTCCGTTTTGAGTGCCATACTTCTGTTTTCCTTGTGAGGGAAGGCGGGCCGGGTGGCAAGTAGGCATGGGATGGGGCTGCTCCGCTAGGCAGCGTTGCTGCTTGCATGGGAAGAGGAGCTGGATGGGGGCTGCTGAGCTGGGGAGGGGCAGGCTCCGTCACCCTTTCCGTTGAGGGGTTTGAGGCTGCACTCCCCTCAAGGGAGAATTTTAAAGGAGCCCCCCCTCCGCCTCAGATCCCCTGCAACCCCGTGAAGGCAGCCAGGCTGAATAGTTGCTGGGGTTGGGGAAGGTGGAGGCAGCCCGGAAGCTGCATCTGAGAGCCTCTGCACCACTTGAAGGCAGCCAGCCGCTCCTCAGCGGAGCTTCCTACTTGTGTGCAAGGAGGAGTGGAGGCAGGGATCTCTCAGCGCAAAGCCTCCACTTCTGAGAGATCTCCGCCCTGCTCCTGAACAGGGCTGCCTTCAGAGGTCTTCCAAAAGGTATGGAATTCTTTCTCTCTTTGACATCTGATATTGGGGGGGGGGGTGTTCCACAGAGAGGGTGCCATTACCAAGAAGGCCCTCTGCCTGGTACCCTGTACATGTGAGGGAACTGCCAGAAGACCCTCGGAAGTGGACCTCCGTGATGACGGGGGGGATATTTTCTTTTCCTTGTGTTAGATGGATGTTGAAACAAGGTGTGATTGACATGGGCATGTCTGGATGACAGATTTCTGCCCAACACCACTCCTCTTCCGGGACATACCTGTGATGTTTTGATGACACTATGAGAAATTTGTTGTGGGAACTATTAAAAACTCATGTCATCTTCTGGACATAGTTTCTTTTGCTCTTCTTAGAGATTGAGACCTTTGTTGCAACAAATAAATGATCAGCCCTTCTGGCCACTGATTTGTTTCCTCATTGCTTGCCTGCTGGCTCGCGTTTTCTGATCAATCCAGCATCCGCAGGGCTAGACTCCAGCAAAGTTGGAAAGCTCTGCCGGGGCTGCTGCTTCTGTCTTCTCCGGCCCACGCAGCCTCCTGCCCTGCCCTGGCACCTGGCTGGAAAAGCCCAACTGGGGCTATTGGGACGACAACTGGGACAGGTAAAGCCAAACATCTTCAGGCCTCTTTGCAGACAGGCCAAAATCGCTCATTTCCCCAAAAAATATAGTCCGGTCCCCAACAAGGTCTGAGGGACAGTGGACTGGCCCCCTGCTGAAAAAGTCTGCTGACCCTGATCTAGTAGATCCATTGTTGTAACCATATCAAAAAAGTATTTGGTATTTTGCCTTCTTTTGAGACACTTTCCCTCAGTGTTCTGTCATAGTCCAGTGATCCTACTCCATTAAATTCACCCGTAATAATTATATTTCTGTCATAAACCTCAGACATACTTTCCTCCAATAGTTGGAAGAAATCTCATGCGAAAAGTGGCTCTGAATCTGAAAGTCCCAGTCCCAAATCTTAATCCTGCCACCCTAAGATATTATAAGCAAGCCCCACATTCCTCTTTCCACCTGCAATAGGGAAGTTAGAACAACACTTAATACCCGGCAGGGATCATAAGAGCCAGAATTGCTTAAAATTGCAGGGAGAGAGATAAAAGCTGGATTTGAAATGACCCAACCACAAGATGAAAAGTCTCCCTACTAAATGAGGGAAGGGGGAGGCATGTGGGGGGGGGGCTTTTGAAGTCTCCCTGCTGGCAAGGGAATTCCTGAGGAAGGGCGCCTCTGTCTGTCTGGATCCCTCCCTGCCTCTGAATCCAGGGGGTGGTGTTTCAATGGGGGGGGGAGAGGGGCTGGTGTTTGAAGCTGGGCTGGGCTGTTAGGGGGCGAAGCTCAGCAATGCAGCCGTTGCTCTGCATGCAGAAGGACCCCGGCTGAGTGCTTGGCATGCAGAAGGAGGCCCAGAAGGAGACCCTCCCCCTGCCTCCACTTGCCCAGTTGGGGGGGCGGGGGCCGGGTCCCCATGGAGCCCCCAGAGCAGGAGGCCAGAGGCAGCGCCGCCCCGTCTCCTTCCCCTCCGGACACAGGGAGGGGCTGCTCTGTAGACGTAGCTCTAGGGGCAAGCGCGTCGGAAAAGGAGCCGGAAGTGGCGCCGCCAAACGCGCCGGAAGTTTCCAGCCGGAAAAGGAAGAGGGGCGTCAGTGGAGAACCCCCCCCCTCCAGCCCCTTCTATTGCAGACAAGGAGGGCGTCGCTGAAAATCCCCCCCCGTGGCCGCCGCCCTTTCTATTGCAGACAAAGAAAGCGGACTAATCCGGAGCCAGGGAGGCGGAGGACCAAGAGGTAAAGGGGGAGAGAAGGGGGGGGAAATAGAGGGGGGGATAAGGGGGGAGGACAAAGAGACCCCCCCAAGAAAAGCGCCCTCCCTGGGGCCCGTCGACAGGGGCCCCGATCCCGGCCCCGACCCAGGGGGGAAGGGGGGACCCAACACCTGCAGGGCTGGCCTTGCAAGATCTCCTGGGCAGCAGCAGCACCGCCAGACTCCCCTTTCTCTTTCCTGGGGGGCCGAGAGATGCTCAGCTGCCCTGGCGGGAAGGAGAATGAGGACCCCAAGCAGGGCTGGGGGTGGGGCTGAGGCCCCCCATTCTCCCGGCTTCCCCCTGGCAGGAATCCCTGGGGTCGTGGGGCGCCTGGCTGGGGAAACGGAGAGAGGGAGTCCAGGGAAGGGTTAAAGGAAGGGGAGGAGCCTCGACAGAGACCCCTCCCCTTCCATCACATCTTATTCCCCAGTCTCCCTGCTGGCAGTCTGGCAGTCCCAGATTATCTGTATTCACTAGGACTCATCTCCCTACTTTGGATTGTGCTGAATACCACCAATTATAGCCTAGCGCAAACCCAAAAGTCCTGCTAGGATGCATCTTGGCTTCCCTGCTGATGAAACTGAGTGTGTGAGGATTGATAATATTTTCATTTATCCCTTTCAGACCCCTAAGTAGTAGCCGTTGCCAGGACATTCTCCTGTTCGCCTCTGTATACTTCCATCCTTATTTCAGACATTGTGGTAGATTGCAATCAGGGTGGGTTTGATATAAAGCAAATTGATTTCAATCACAATTTATGGTAAATCACTAGTCAGTATGATTCTGTTTAAATCAAAAATTTCTGATTTGGTTACACTGTTAGAAATACATAGACAAATAATTATGAAATCATTCTGAGGTTTAATAAGTTAACTGTCTATATTTGGACAACAGTTCTGGTGTAATTTATTGGAAGGAGAAAAATAATCATTTCCTTAATTACAGCTTAAGCAATTTATTTAACTAAAACAATAATACTATAGCATGTTGGTTTTTATTTTTATAAAAAACAGCCAAGCAGACTGAGTTTTAGCGCACATGAAAAACTCGGAACTTAATCATTTCACCTCTTCCACTACCAGCCCCCCCTTTGGATTGGCTTCTGCATCCAGGTGCCTATTCTGTACAGTTAAGTGTTAGTGTGGCTGTTGGAACCCAATGGGATTGGGAAGAGGTTGCCAGCCCTGAAGAGCCTTCAGCGCTTGCCTCAAGTCTGACTTGCACAATTATTACACAAAGACCCCAAGATGTGTGGAGTATTCTGCTCACAAGGCTGCACTTTCATTTTTACTGCTTCACACTTAGCTACTTGTGCAGATCTCTTCCACTGCAAACCATCTGTTCATTGAACCTCTTGGAACTTAGAATTTAAGGGGTTGATTCTGTAGAATCGTAGAGTTGGAAGAGACCACAAGGGCCATCGAGTCCAACCCCCTGCCAAGCAGGAAACACCATCAGAGCACTCCTGACATATGGTTGTCAAGCCTCTGCTTAAAGACCTCCAAAGAAGGAGACTCCACCACACTCCTTGGCAGCAAATTCCACTGTCAAACAGCTCTTACTGTCAGGAAGTTCTTCCTAATGTTTAGGTGGAATCTTCCTTCTTGTAGTTTGGATCCATTGCTCCGTGTCCGCTTCTCTGGAGCAGCAGAAAACAACCTTTCTCCCTCCTCTATGTGACATCCTTTTATATATTTGAACATGGCTATCGTATCACCCCTTAACCTCCTCTTCTCCAGGCTAAACATGCCCAGCTCCCTTAGCCGTTCCTCATAAGGCATCGTTTCCAGGCCTTTGACCATTTTGGTTGCCCTCCTCTGGACACGTTCCAGTTTGTCAGTGTCCTTCTTGAACTGTGGTGCCCAGAACTGGACACAGTACTCCAGGTGAGGTCTGACCAGAGCAGAATACAGTGGCACTATTACTTCCCTTGATCTAGATGCTATACTCCTATTGATGCAGCCCAGAATTGCATTGGCTTTTTTAGCTGCCGCGTCACACTGTTGGCTCATGTCAAGTTTGTGGTCAACCAAGACTCCTAGATCCTTTTCACATGTACTGCTCTCAAGCCAAAACCTAGGTCTCCCCCAACAAACGTTTGAGACTAGCTCCCCTAAATCTAAAAGATGGATTAAACTGCGCGCGCCTCTGGGCGCGTGCCGCTGCCCTGCTAGCTCTGATAAGCTCCTCCCACAGCTAATCACCTGCCTCAACAGAAACCCTGCCCCTCTGACCTTTGCACAGGGCGAACAGCTAATCAGCCACAAAGAAACACACACACACAAGAAACCTTTTTGCTCCTCCTTCAGCTGCTGCCCTGCAAGCTGTGTGTATAAAATTTGCAAAGGAACAATGGGATTAAGGTTTCCCCTCAACTCTGTATGTTTATTTTATAACATTTTTCCTGTGAAGAAAAGGCATGTAATCTCTGCAGACACAAATTCACACTTTTGAGAATGGCAAAAACAAGCATCTGTGACAATATCTTCTCATTAGAAAAACTTCCCCAAATAATCTTACAGAATTCCCCCACCTCCCGCAAAAGCCGCACGCTCCTTAAAGGGTCACAGCTCCTGTGGGCTTTTGCGGGAGGTGGGGAATACTCCCAGAGCTTGTCGGGGCTGGCGGGGGAAGCCCGGGATGAAGGCTCGCTGCTGCCCTGCGGAGGCTTCGCGGGCTACCCCAGAAGCCAGAAGAGCTATAGAAAGCGCTGCGCAGCGCTCCCTCTAGCTGTTTTAGCTTCTGCCTTAGTGGCGCAACGCCTCCGCAGGGCACCAGGGAGCTCTGCTCAGCGCTCCCTTTAAATAATATTTTTTTTCTTGAATTCCCCCTCTAGAAACTAGGTGCGCCTTATGATCAGGTGTGCCTTATGGAGCGAAAAATACAGTAGGTAGGAGAAAATAACAGGCCACCCAGAGTATATGGAGAAGCAAAGCGGCTAGTAAGCCTGCAACTTTATTGCAACAGTGTCCCCCCCTCACCACAACCAGGAGGGAGGTGTGAAAGGCCTTATATAGTCTTTTAAAATTGCCCACCCAAGACCACCCCCCCCCAAATATACAGAAGGAGACTGTCTACAGCAGGAATAGATCACAGGAGGCGGTCTACAGCAGAAAACCTGTCCTCAAGGATACCTGTTAATGGTCACTAACTGCATTACCTGGGCAGCCTGGCCATTCTTTTGTGATGGTAAATACTTTAGTTCCTGAATCCAGGTCACAGGCCCACCCTGTTCACCCCTCCTTAAGGCAATATTCGTAAACACAAAGACAATGGGAAGGCTTCCATTTGCCTCCCTTGCTGCAAAGGAATATTTGAGAACATTTCTGTGCACAATTCAAAGTGTTGGCGTTGACCTTTTAAGCCCTAAATGGCCTCAGTTCTGTATACCTGAAGGAGCGTCTCCACCTCCATCGTTCAACTTGGACACTGAAATCCAGCGCTGAGGGCCTTCTGGCGGTTCCCTCATTGCGAGAAGTGAGGTTACAGAGGACCAGACAGAGGGCCTTCTGGGTAGTGGCGCTTGCCCTGTGGAATGCCCTCCCATCAGATGTCAAGGAAATAAGCAGCTATCTTATTTTTAAAGACATCTAAAGGCAGCCCTGTTTAGGGAAGTTGTTAATATTTAATGCTGTATTGTTTTTAACACTTGATTCCCCAGAGTGGCTGGGGAAACTCAGCCAGATAGCCAGGGTATAAATAATAAAATTATTATTATTATTATTATTATTATTATTATTATTATGGCATTAAGAGAGTTAAAATGATTTCAGGATGGTTTTCCTATAATTTTTCAGACATGCGGTTTGTATACTTACTGTGAGGAATGTGTGTGGTTGCTCACGAAGTAAACAGCCAGGACTCCGTCGGCTTTACGAAAGTCGGCTTTCTTAAAGTCAAGAAATTGAGTCCTAGTATGCTTGACTGCTCCTTTCCGCTGTATAGTAAACTTCAGAAGAGCATGATCACTCGCGCCTAATGATCCTTCCACTTCTACCCCACTAACCAGTTACAGATAGGTAGCCGTGTTGGTCTGCCATAGTCAAAATAAAAACGAAAGCTCATACCAAGCACTAACTCAGTTGGTCTTTAAGGTGCT